TGAGTGAGAAATATACCAAATAAAAGGGAAATTTATTTATTCACTACACTATAAATCACACTTTTTGTCATTTTTTGTGTTTTTCTAAAGTTCTGCCTTGCAACTTCTGATGTTTGGTTTTGCAAATCTTTGACACCTATATTAGATGTGTGTGTGTGTGTGTGTGTGTGTGTGTTTTTTTTTTTTAATCTATCAGCAGGTTTTCAATCATATTAAAAATGTTTTGGCTTCCCACTGCTTATCTGAGCCATTTAAGACAAGAGGGATCTTGCAGAAGATAGTGAAAGGATCTGAGATAATTGGCGACACATTCCAACTCCCAGAAAAGTAAGTGGTGAGGTTTTGAGAAAAAATGACTGCTTATTAAAAACAAGTTTTACCAAGTCATTTACTAATCTAAAAAAAAAAGTAAAACAAACTGTAACTATTTAAGAGTTATTATATAAAACAGAAAATCAAAACTGGCCAAAAATACATGATCAGAGAGTTATAAACTCAAAATTGACCAACAAAAGCAGCATCGGTGTATGGAAGAAGCATTACCACAAACAGCGATGTGCCCTTTTCTGCTCCGCCTAGGTATGCACGAGAAGTGACTTCTGTGTTTAAATTTCATGTTCGGTCATTATTTTTACAATTAGTGTTCAACAGAAATTTCGACTACATGGTAAGGAGCCAACTTCTCCACAACTACACCAGATATTTGATTATTAGTATGTCAAAAACACCCAACAGTTACTAAACACAAAATAAAAAATGCACTATGACCTGCTGGATAAAATAAAAAAGTAAAACAAAGAAGTCAGGTTAAACAGAAACTAACAGGGAGACTTGTTTCTATATTAAAAGGCTAGCAGTAACACAATCCTTGTCTCCACGACTTTATTCAAAGACTACCGATGCCTTAGAAACGGTGTGTCAATCTTGGTTCTCAAGTCTCACTGCTCTGTATTATTTTGATGTCTTCCTGCTCCAACACATCAGCGTTAATTACCCGCTAAGCAGGCCATCAAGTCCACCAGACACCTGGTAATGACCCTTCAGTTTAAATCAGGTTTGTTGAAGCAGGGAAGCATTTTAAAGTAGAGCACTGGAACTCCAGAACAGAAGCAGAAATAAGAAACGCTGTTTTGGAGTAGTTCTCCTTCCCCCTCCCCCCCCCCAAAAAAAAAAAAAAAAAATATATTCCTTATTAGCTTTGCAAATAAAAGAGAAAATTTACTGGAGGAAATAGGCCAGGATGGAAATGTACACAAGATAAAGGGGAGTACCAAGATAGCATGAAAATGTTACTGAGCAGCCCATTAGTCAGGGAACTATGCTGGTATGACATTCCAGTTTTATAAGTCTGATGGTAAGAGCTTCAATCTAATGCTTCAACAAAACCTTAGGCATTGCAAAATATGCATGGTAATTTATTGAAATATTTAGTTCCCTCCAAATAATTAGGACTCTTGTGAAAAATGCATTAAAATAAGAGAAACGAGTGCCTCCCTTTTGTCATGTTTATGCACAATTTATAGGAAAACATAAACTTATACATTTCTAATTGACAGTTCCCAGACACTCTGATCAGCTTTGAAAGTAAAATAGGACAGTCTGGTGTGTCATAGGGTGGTGTAGACAAGTGATGTGATTTGGCTCCGTATCCCAGCTTAAATCTCTAAACTCAACTGTAAAGCTTATAGGATTGCACCGATATTCAATTTTCAATTTCTATTTCAATGAGAAAAATACTTGATCCCGTTGGACACCCCAGCAACATTTTTCAAGAGTGTTCTTTCTAGTAAAGTACAAAAGCTATGATTAATAATACCACAATTTTTTTCTCCCTTGGCAAGGGCAAAAGTAATAAGTAGAAATTTTAGTCCTTTATCAAAATATACAATTTCACACATCAAATTGGGCATTTTACATCGTTGAGTGGTGGTCAATTTTTAGGGTAATTTCACTCTTGATAGTCCAGTAGACTCAAGTGAAGTCCAAAACTGCAACATTTGTTACAATTCCTATTCACACTTCAAAGTGTCAAACAAACTAAACCCTTATATTGTAAAAACCTTTTTATCCCATCACCTGTGGTGGCGCTGCACCAAGAACCGCTGGCACCATGCCGCTATTTTACTCATTTCATCATCCCATCTCAGCTCAGGGCATAACCTGGAAGGAAGTACTCTACCTTTTTTTTTTTTTTGTATATTCAGCAAATCTGATTTATAAATCCAAACCATCCTCTAAAGTTTGAGTATATAAACAGCAGAATCATCCACATCTGTAAACATGTGAAAACATAATTGTGAAATGACAATGGAACAAAGCCTAAATCCGCTTTAAAAAAAAAAAAAAAGAAGTGATGAACAAATACAGCCAGAGGGCCTTTGATATTTTGAGTTAACTGTCAGTCTTACTTCATTTCTGTTCTCTCCTATCAGACTGTTCCTCCGGAGATCCGGAGATAAAAGGACCTCCCGTTACTGCTGCAGCTCGGAGAGTGTGAGAAACAAAGATAATATGCTCCTTGCGAAACAGCGGAGTGACATTTTGATAATCAAGGAGAAAGGTCAGTCTGGGTGTCTGACTGTCTAGCAAAGGTAAAACTTCTCAGACCAATCCCCTCGTTTTGGGAGTAAGAACTATCACGCAAAACTCAGTTTTTGCACTGAGGCAATCTCCCAACTGGAAGACTTTTAGACAGCAGAGATGAGACTGACAAAGACACTCTCTTTGAAATGTCTCAGGGAACAGGAGCGGATTATGTAAGTCACTCAGTATACTGGGTCACCCAGTTGTTTTTGATGTGCACTATTACTATGCCGCTGCTACACTCGGTGCAGAGCTTCTCGTTTTGCACAATCTGAGTGCCTCCAACATGTTTTTTCCTACTTCTGATTGTTGTATATGCTTTTAATAGAAGTTTGCTGCAATAAATGTGCAGATCTTGAGAAAAATAGGAGGTAATAAATGCCTTTTTCAAGCAGCGCGCAAAGGAAAACTGCACAGTGATGTCAACTGTGATGTTTATTCTCAGAAAAGGACTGGCAGGTCACAAATCAGATGAGCAGCACTATGCAAATCCTACACTTCAAGCACAAGTTGAACCCAAACAACTCTCATGGACTCGGCCTTTCTTTCTGTAGCTGCATGGACAGTGATTAGTTGTGATGAATGTATGTCTGTGTGGGTGGGTCGGTGCAGCAAAACAGAGCAAGTCTTAGCTAACATAAATGAAGCATTTAACCTTCCAGGCCATTACAAATCTTTGAGCCGCTGAGCATGAGAATAATGGCAGCACTGTCAGGACAGGTAGGATGTTTGGTTGCTCCATAACATGGGCGCTTTGTTTCTCTGACAGTGTCATGTTACTAGCGAGGCTGAAAACTTAAAAAAAAAAAAAAAAAAAAAGGGAAGCACAGGTTGCTTCTGCACAGCAGAGCAGATACAAAGACTGAGATTTAGGTGTTGAGCAACAAACTCTGGAATATATGTTATTCCACCTAAAGTGAAAAGGGAAGTTTTAGAATGATATTGAAGTATATTTCACAGTACTTGCAGATTTTTCTCAAAGGTTGTTAAAGAACTAGGAGGCAAAAGGAAGTGTCTGGTTTACAATGTTTACTTAATTTGCAGCTTCCCCCTCTAAAATGTGAACAGAGATGTTAAAATATGCACTGTGTGTTAGGTAAAGTCCAAATGTAGAAACAATCAGCTTGAAATAGTCACACAGCTTGAAACCTTTCTACATTTTGCCATGCAGAAAGGCATTTTAAAGAAGTTGATAACTATTAAGCGGAAGAAAAACAAAGGGCAAAGAGAGTGGCTGCTTTTGCATTTAACCTGTATGATAACGTAAAAATAATGGTTATTTTGAAAACTAATCATTATTTCCCCTCTGTTTTGATCAAACACGTAACATTCCAATGAAATACAAGTTTGTTTTTGCTAGACACTGTACACTAGTTATCAGCCATATTGCTAGGACTGGTCTTAAATACATATTTGGATTTTGGTTTTGCTATTTTTTTTTTAAACACATCTATAGATCGCACAAAACCCGTCTTAGATACTCTGCAAATAATCTACTAAATACACAAGCTAACAAATGAAGCTAGCAAATGTAGTCATCAAAACGGGGAAGTACAAGGAAATCACTTCAAAATAAAAGCGGGACTTACGAATAAACACACCATTTTTGGTATTTTTAAAAAATACATACACTATATATACTTTACCCATTTATCTCTTGTGTGTCAAACATTGTACACACAACGAGGTAATTTGTCCTACCTCTTGCTTTTAATTTAATTTATTGTAGATAACACCGGAAATTCAACTATAATTTCACAGACTCGACAGGGTACCGACATAAAAATGGTGCTGCTGTCAACTGAATATTCCTTCACGCTTCTAGCTAATTACACATCACGTAGCAACACATCAGAGACTGGGGAGAGCCCTGGGTAATCAGTGATTAAACTGGTAAATGAATAATAGGTGTAGCGAAGGACAAAGACACCTGCTCACTGTGTTCCAGGAAGAGATGGGGATATCTCACCTTTAGGGACCTAAATACAATTCATTTGTGTTGTGTTAACAGCACATTTGTCTGCGTAAATTAAGTCAGTGTTTAGAGGGGCTACAGTTTGCATCAACTTTGTTTCAAAACGATGTTTGGCCTGTTCTCCCCTCGCAAGCATCGGCTCGGCCAGTGTTGCAAACACCCACCCGTCCTGCTGCAGCATTTCCGTGTTTCGTACGGAATCATTTTCACGGAGTCCACGCCACGTCAGAAAATAAACCCTTATTTTCTCCCCCCAAATGATTCCACATCATAACACCTCTCTGGGAGCAGCGGGCCATTAACGTGGAGAAAAACACGCCGCTCCTGAGGGGAACACTGCGACATTGTTCCAGGATAAATAATAAGTGAAAGGCTGCATGACGTGTCTAAATCAATGGGGTCCAAGTCGGGATCATAGAGATGCTAAAGCAGCAGAACTTACCCAGTGCCACCTCGCAGGCTTTACGCAGCTGTGAGTGATGCGCCTTCTTCACCTCCTTGTCGGCCAGGATCTTTTCCAAAGCTCGTGTGAGGAACATGTTTTTCGTCTTTTTGCCCTCATACATGTCGCACCGGAATCTGGAGCGAGGTGTGCCTGGTCCCAGGGAGCCGGGGAGGGAGAGACGGTGAAGGTGGAGGCCTGCAGCCGCCTCGAAGGGAGATGTATTCCGCCGCAAATGTCAGCCACGGGAGCCCCTTAACAGACACACATGAATAAATACAGAAGGTTGGGGTAAATCCCTCGGATTGCCGTTAACGACCTGCCTCCTGCGCCATGTTGGAGAGAGGAAACGACGTCACGTAACGTCCGAGAGCGGCCGCGGTGAGGCACTACGGAGCGAGTTACGGTTTATTGACCTGATAAAAAAAAAAGAAAGTTTGGCCCTATTTTCACCTGAAATACAAACAACAAACTTCTAAATACCGAGTTCTCCATTTTTATTTTGATGTGAGTTGAATTAATTTTCTCATTAGAAACAATGAATGAAAAACAACAGGGAAGCGGCCATTAGACTTAGTTTTAAATGCAACATACTGTATTCTAAAACATGAGAAACGATTGTGGTCAAAAGCCTTGACATGATATTCCTGTTATATTTATTATATTTTAAAATAAAACATTAACTGGTAAAGAGAACAAAAATGTAACAATTTTCTAATATTTCAACTCCCTGGAAACATCGGTGTATTTCTTAATTTGATTAGTTATTGTGTTGAGAGATTTCTGGTGGGTCTCTGCAGTTCCACCAGAGTTACAGCGTTATTACTTGAGGCTCCTGAGAAGAGCATATCTTCTGATTGTGCTCTCTTTATTTACATCACATCTTTGGTCTATTAATACCATATTTTGGGGAATAAATGTAAAGTAGGCTCACACATTGCCATTCCAAATATAGCAGAACTTAATTTCATGTTATTTTAGGCCACTGCAAAATCAGTTTGCAGAGTCCTAGTTCAACAAATGTTCAACAAATGTTATAATTATTATTGTTATAAGAAAGACTTCAGAATGACTTACTAAGCATCTTTAATTTGATTAAATTAGTTTGTGATTGTTAAAAGCAATATCCAAGTGCACAACTCCCACCGCCCCAGTCACCCCATTAGACCTGTACAGAATAAGCAAGTGCCGTTTTAGTTATTAAATCATATTACTTACTTTGCATGCTGTGGATATGTTTAACAGCAGATCCTTCTTGCAGCCTCCTATAACATTTATCAGAGTCCAACAGCAGATACATGTGGAAAATCTGGAAGTTTGACAACACAGATTTGGTCATCGTAGGCGGCATATAGTTTGCTTACACTTAGGACTGTCTTATGAGTCAGATGCATTTTTTTTTCTGTAGCTATGAATAAGAGATGAGCTGAAGAAGCTCTAGTCCCGATCTAAGTTTTCGTTCGAGGGCTCAGTCATGTGAAAAACTTCGGACACCCTACTCAGTATTGAGTTCTTTATTGATAAACAGGAACATATTGACACATTTTATTTATTTCTGCATCAGATATCCATGTAGTTGCAGGTTAAACAGAAAAATAAACTTTGTATTGCCCATTGAATAATGGATATAAATAAATATGCATATTGTGAGAAAAACATTTGGCTGAAATCTTCAGCTAGCTGCTTTATCTCTCTTTTATGGGGAGAGTTTTTCCCCAGTTTTCAGTGCTGATTTCTCTTTATGTTTTCTTTTTTTTTGTTTCACATGGAACTTGTTTGAAGTCAACCTATGGCAATTAATTGATGATGTCCATGACCATCTGTATCTTAGCTTTGAGCCAGTTCTAGGTAGATTCACCAGTATGTTTACTAGTAATGTAAAACATTAGCTTGCAATGTTTCACTGTTGATTTTCACATTTTCTTCAAGCACTCTCTAATACTCTCAAATTCTTCTGAGGCCTCTTTAATTCCCTTATAAAACTCAAAACCTTGTTTCTTCAGACGTCTGCTGAGTAATGATGCTATACTCTATCTGTTACTCCTGTGTGTAATTTTAGCTTTTGCAGCTGGAAACAAATGTGGAGATGTAATTCATTCCTCACTACAAATAGCTTTTTAAAATTAGATTGCACATAATGCTTCTGCTTTCATACTTTTGCTAAAGTCTTATATTTTTATATATTGTTGAATTTATTGTTAAATATGTTAAAATGTTTGCTTTTATAGTTTTTGTAATTGTTTTTAAAATACGGTAAAAGTAAAATTAGAAAGATTTGGTGCATGCAATTCTTATTACAAATGTGACTCACCTCCAGTAATGTTTAGTATCAAACACAACTTTGTGTTCAAAACATTAATGGCACACAAATATGGGCCCCTACTCCTAAAAAAAAAACAAAACAAAAAAAAAAACATTTAACTTTCATTTAAATTTGGACAATTTTAGCAAGAAAACTGTTGAAACACATAATTTGTTATTATAATAAGGTTCATAATTAAAATATATATTTAAATAACAAGTCAAAAAAGATGACTTGTGATAACTTTTACTGATATAAAACTGTTAAACTTCATTATTACACATTTATTAAAATGTCATGTGAAAGCTCACATAAAAAATCTTGGCAATGTTGATGAAAGTTATACTGGACAAACTGTATGTTTTCCTATAAAATATGTATATTTTTAAAATTATGTTTAATAGGTTATGCAATATTATGTGCAATAGTATTTAATATTTGTAAAGACACAAACAATTTGCTTTACTTATTAAAAATGCGCTGGAATGGTATGGGATCAAGTCCTAGCACCACTCTCTCTTGTAAAAAAAGAAAAAAACAAAACATTTGTTGTAAGCACTCTGAACTCTCCATAGTCATTTCTTATCAGAAATGAGAAATAACAAAAGCAAACCTTGAGAAAATAATGCATTTCATTTCTCAGTTATTCACCTGATAGCATCTAGGAGAAATATTAAATTTAACAACCGTAAGGGGCTGCTCATATATATGGAAATCTTTTCCTGTTCATGTTGCACTTCTGCAGACCCAACAAGATGGTTATCGCAGCTCTCGTGGTCCCATAGCAGTTGTGCAAGATTAGTGGTTCAAGCAGGAGGAAACCAAAGATCTCTGAACCTAAACTCAAATTCAACATTCCTGTAAGACCAGCCAACAGAGCTGCCAGAAATTACAACCTAAAATGAGCTTTAAAGATCAACAAATTATCATATTTTATGAAATACAGATGAAAAAGAATACAGGCCGCATTTACTGGCAGTGTGAACGGTCCTAGCAAAAAAAATTGGAATTGGGTCATTTCAGGCTGCAGTATGAATGCACCCTAAGTATCCCATGCTGGTCTGAACTGGAACAGAGTAGACATTTACCAGACAGCTGTCAGTTTTTTAGGTTTTGAATTTCAAAGTTTGCCACCTGTGGTTGCCACCGAGGCCTTTTAAATTTCTGGACAGTGTGCCGGCTTGTGAGGTCTCCAAGTTGCTGCTTTCAGATAGCATTTTTTCCAACTTGCACCTTCTCACTTGACAAATCAATATAGAAATGTTTACCTTGTAATTTTTTTCTACCACAATTTTTTCACCAAACTTTGAGCAACTCCATATTTGCCAGTGACTCCAGCAAACAAAAAAACTTTCAGGATGTGAAAATAAGTCATGATCTTTAAACAGGTTTCCGTTTAAAGTTATAAGATGGTGTTAAAGTTAAAGTATCTCAATGCACAGGCGCAGGAGCATTTGCACATAGACACTTTTGTGCTTGAGCATGAACTTGGTGATGAATTTGACATCTGGAAGGGTTATGGTAGAAGTCACCAAATGTGTCAGAGCAGCTCAGGAAAAACTAAACAATTCATAGATATTCCATGTATCCTAAAACCATTTTATCCACATCAGCCAAAAAAGTGCAGCTTTACAATTGCAGAGAAAAACTTGACAGAAACAAAAGTCAACAGTGACATTTCACAGATTAATTTCCACAATGTTCATTGAGATTCTGCCTTTTAACTGACTTCACACAGAAGAAATTTTAATTCATAACTGAATATTTTCAGTAGTAACTGTTTGGTTGTTGGAAGAAATACAGCGTAACAATCATCCTGTGATTTTCATGTTGAATTTCTTCCAAGTCTCCCCCTCAAATTTATACATTTAAACATTTCAAAGAGTACACATTGTTCAGATGCAATACAAAATGGATATCATTAATCCAAAAATAATTCCAGACAAGTCATATCAAGGTTTTTTATTTTTATTTTATGTATTTTTTTTGGCTTTGCAGAGTGTTAGTCCATCACTGGTAAGCAGAACTAACCAAGTTGCCAAACAGGAACAGAAGTAAAAAGTGTCCGTTATTGTCTTCTGTAAAAACTGAACAGTGAAGTTCGGGACCTCAATAAGTGAGTAACAAAAACACACCTGAATTTTTCTCTTTTAACATGTTTTCATTATTAACCAGAGAAAAAAATTATAGCAAAGTAAGTGAGTAAGTCAGATGATGAATGCAAAAAAATAAAAAAATCTCTAAAGCACAGAACATCCCCTGCAATTCAGCTAAATCTATCAATACGAAATAGAAGGAACACAGCGCATTCGTCTTCAAAATGACTGTGCAAGAAGGAAACTAGAGAAAGGGAACATCAGGTCACCTATGTGCTGAAAGTGTTTCAAGCTTCAGCAGCTGAGATTTGTATGCGTTCTTCACCAGTCAAAGCTTTATGGCAATGAGAGACCCACTCATAACAAGATTCAGCTAGAGGGAGTGAGTACTTTTACTTGTCATTGTATATTCAGTTCCCATTTATACTTTGTTTGTTTCAGATTCTAGAATGCTACGTCAAACAAGAGCCATGACACCTGAATGGTAGGATTGGAAAACTTGCCAGCAAGCTAAAGGATTGCAAAAATTCTTATCTTTTAACCAATCCTTCCTGAGAAAGCAAAGGATGACTATGACGAGAAACTTCCAGCAGAAACAGGGTTAGGGTGGATGGTCTTCTACCTCAATCAGCCAAGAGAGGAGAGGATGAGTCCACTTTCACACCCACTTCTAAAATATAGTAAATAATCACATTGAAGAAATAGCCACTAAACGACATGGCAGAGCATGATGGAGCTGGTTGAGTTGTCATTTTATCATGATGTAATACTTGAATTAGTTGGACCTGAAATTATCCAACAGAATAATTATGAGTTAATACTAAATATATGTTGTGTTAAAATGTAAATTTGAAGACATGTACAGCTCATTTATATACAGCCTACTAATGAGGGTTGGAATTAGGTGATTAGAAAGCTAATACTCGTTACACGTCCTTGTTAGTCAAACACAAGTCAAGGTTAATAATCAAGTTTCAACAAAGGGCACACTGACCTCTAGTGGTCTCACCTTCTTACTACATCATTATCTACAAATATTCCAAGTCACGTTTTCTTTAGTTTTTTTTCAGTTTTCACAAAGTAGTAAAAAATGATGCATTTGAAAACAGAAGTTTACATACACTAAATAAAAAACAAAACAAAACATTTTCTTCTCACAGTTTGAAGGTAAATCAAACCAAACTTCTCTTGTTTTATGTCAATTAAAATGATAAAAAATATATTTCTATTTACTAAATGCAACAGTAATATATTTCCAAAGAGTATTATATATTATTACAATGTGTTCTGAAGAACAGCACCATTCTATCCACTTCTACATGAAAATGTCTAAAGAAAAAAAGTATTTAATCTTTAATCTCCTATTCTTGTATGGCTATTTTGTTTTTGAAAATCAAAACTCCTAGGCATAAACTCAAACTCTCTTTCATACATATATCTTTACCCTAATTGTTTCTAAATAAATAAGCAAAAAAACAAACAAACAAACAAACAAAAAAAAAACAAAACAAAAAACAAAATCAGAGTTGTATTCACTTTCACTTGGTACGTGGCGGAACCTGAAATCTTGAGTTCCCTGTGGACAAACGCTTTAAATTCTTTCAAATTCCTGCCTGTCATTTCCTCTCCTTTTGTCTTCATCTGTGCAAAACTGAAACAAGTTGGACTAAAACAAAGAACAGAAATGTCATAATTTGGTCATGAAAAAAAAGGAAAGTTGTCTGCTGCCAGTCTGAACTGCTCAGCATGTGTTGAGGGAAATATTTATATATTTATTTATAAATATTTATACAGAAGATACTGATGAAGACTGGTCCATTTCAGAACAGGAAGACAACCTGCATTTTATTTTGGTTGAAGTTCACTCTTCAGCATTTCTTTCTTGGGTGGATCACCTTTCAGAAGACCTTATCATGTCAGATGTTTGACAATAAGAATGAACTTTTAAGCATCAGCGTACTGCAAATTTCTGAACTGCAGACCGGAAAAGATTTTTAGGATAAGAATATGCATTGAAGGAGTAGATATGACTGAGTGTAAAGAAATGAAATTAATTTCACAAAAAAATATAATTGCTTTATTTTCTTTTATTGCAAAAAAAGCTTTTCTTCACAAATGACTCATGCATATTCTATAAATTTCAGCTTTCAATAATAACAGTTCTGCCACATGAAAATACAGCTAAAAACATTTGAGTTACGTCTTCAAAACCAGTAAGTAAATCCTTATAAAGATAAAATAATCTACGTACGCTATGCAAAACGTCTGAAGTCTTGCTCGTCTCTCCAGTCTTTCAGAGTCAAACTTACACACCTTTGGTTTATCTGAACTCCTCCCTTTCACATATCTAATTTCCTGGGTAAGGAAAGTCTGAGCTTAAAGTTATTCAGCTGCAGAGATTGAACTGATTGCAGACGTATGTCTTAACAGATCGTCAGAGTTAGAATTCCTGTTTTTCACCACGCAAAAAGGAGCCAGTTCTTTAACTAGCAGCTCTAGTTCAAGTAGCATGTTATTGAATATTTGAAAACATTTTTTTCAGCTGTCCTAAATCATGAAAGGTGGTTTATTATGATTTTTTTTTAAATATTTAAATCACAGAAAATTGTTTGGTATTTGTATTTTGTAATAGTTGATATATATTTGGTGTGGTGAGGGGTATGATTTTAAACCCCAAACAACAATACAGCAAGATTTTGTTTTAAAATCATGTTTTTTTTTTCTTGGATTAATTGTCAATGAACCAAAAGTTGCATATTTGTAAAAAGACATTTTCATGTCTAATCCTCGAAAGAATATTTTGATAATTTTTAATCTCATGTTCAGAGGCATGAGTGTGGTTTTATTTAATCCCTAACATGTTTCTAGTTAAATATGGTATTTTGGACATTTAAAAAACAAAACAAAGAGAGAAAAACCTATACACTCAAAAGTTATTTATTGATAGTATATTTTTATAAATATATTTGCAACACAATTTATGTCTAATACTTAGTTTATTGCAGTTTGCTGGAGGAAGATGAAGCTAACTGTGTGGACATTATCGTCTGTAATCAAAAGGTTTGAGAGGATCGTCCCATTTGTGGTGCTGTTCTACTGCCATCAGTGTGATAATGAGCCCAGAAGTAGAACGTCTTTTGGAGACCAACAGATGGAGGTAATCAGCTCCAACATAAACCTGGAGCAAACATATTGAAGAGTTTTTAAATCAATTGAGTTTATAATATTTATCAAGTACTATCAGGAAACAAGAAATCCAAATTTAACTTCTTTTTCCCTGTTTTATGATATCAAATATAAAATAATTGACTTACCTTGATGATATAGTGATAGACTAGGATGTTCTTTACCCGGTAAAAAACTGGTTTGTATTCCTTGAAATCCTTCCCCGTTTTTTTCGCCACTTGGATCTTCACCTGAATATTGAGAAACACAAAACCTTAAACAGATTGAAAGTATATGTCTGTGAAGTTTTAAAAAAAGATAAGGAATCTCACCTTATCACAAAGCTCCTCAACTTCACTAGTGGTGAACCTTACGTCTGACCATTCTCCCATTGGGACGTTCATTCTGATGTCGTCTTCTTGACAAAGAAATAAAAGCTTCACTTTCTCTGAAATGCCTGAAATCAGCTGGACATCGGCTGAGTTTTGAATCTATTTATACAGTAGAGACACTGGGTGCAGGCTGGAAGGAGGTTGTACTTCAAAATGGGAGGAGCTCCATGTGAAAAGCATCAGGTGATTCAGGTAATGACATTTTGGAAAGTTTATTGTATGGCAGAACCTTAAAGTAGCTTTAAGTTATATTTCACTGAAGAACAGAAAGAAAAAGAAAAAAAAAGAAAAAGTAGTCCACAATTAAAAAAAGTGAAAAAAGAAAAAAAAACAGATAACACTTATCTAAGTCTTAATTTAGAAAATAACAACAAAATATCACGCTTATAATTATGTTTTTTTTGGTGAATTAATATGACGTTTATTTGCTACAAAATGTTTCTGGACCAGGGTTTGGGGGGTGGTTTGAGTAGTTACCCTCTCTTGCCCCCCCGTAAATCCATCTTTGAAATAAGAGTGCCTAACCCCGGTCACTGATGTGGATGGGCTCAAGAGAGACAAGAACCCCCCATTTGGCCTCTAGGGGGCATTGTAACTGCACGAAACGCTTAATTCTACATAAAAGTAATTATTATAATTTATTTCATCTTCAGTATAAATGAATGAGCCTTAGAGCTAGTTTAATTTCGTCACAAAAGCATTTGCTTTTCAGTTTTGCTTTTCAGGAACTAATTTAAGAATATACAACCTTACTGACTTCAGAAGTGGAAAACTTTCACCTTTTTTTTGAAAGTTGTAAAGCTTAAAAACCGAACTAATTTTTTATTCAACTTCTTTTGGTGTTAGTTTTAAATTCTTTTCTGTGTCAGTTTATAATAAGTCAATATTTCTCATTTTCAAAGGAAAAATTATAAGTCCTCATAAATAAGCATCCTCCAGTTGCTGATATCATTTATTTTTGTAGTGGATAAAAAAGTGGATAAAAGTTAATTGCTAGAATTTAAATCTGCAAGCATTTTCACTTTGAAACACTTCCATTACTTGTCAAATAATTTTGTTCTAGGCTGAAGTTGAGTTATTAATTTGATGGTCTTTCATCTATCTAATCTTCAGATGTGAAATATTTGTAGACACTCCTTCCAGTTCATTGGAAATGTATCTTTCTGGGTTTCTGCCAATAGATTATCTATCATGTAGTTAGATGCTGTTCACTCTGCATTAATATTTATATTTGAAGAATATTTATACAGAAAGTTCTCTGGATAAAGACTGGAGGACGGTTCATCTCAGTTTACAAAGTGTTTGAAATAGGGCATATGAGCAGTAGTTCAGGCATTATAAAGAGGGTTTGTTGGGGGTGAGAGAAGGAGGGGGTCTTTCAGAGTACCAGATTGGCAAGAACCACCACTGTTGGAATTATTTTATAAGGATGTTTTGCAGCATCGTCTGTTTGAAGAGCCACACGGGGAATTTAAGTTACTTCCTAATGGACTGGCATGTAAAATAAAAACAGAAGAATTTGATGAGATTTGAAATATTTATTTAAACGTGGTTACTTTTTTTAAAATGTAAAACAAACCTGAACCTGCAATTCTTTTTTTTTTTCAGGTTTACAGATAACAGTTTGCTGAAGAGCTTCAAAACAATGATTTAATTTATTTTGATTATTTTTAACCCAATTTTTCTCACTCCCGTTTCATCATAAGTCCAAAGTTTGATAAGATCAACGCAGCCCGTCAACCCCAACACATGCAAATGAGCAAAACTGTGAAAACTTTGAAAGGGCATCAAAACAAAGTAGCTCAGCTGTAAAGTAGAAATCTGGAGAGAGGTTAAGCAGGTTACATTTTATATTTAGTCAACGGGTATGATAACATCATCTTTTTCGTGATGCTGTTCGACGTGCTCCACTGTTATCTTGACCTCTCCTGTCTCAGAAGCAGTTTGGTGGATCAGCACATGGAAATATTCAGTCCCACCCACATAAACCTGTAAATTGGAGAGAGAATTGTCAGATGTTGGTATATATTATGTTTCTGAATAGTATGGTATTGTTCTGAAGAACATAACCATTCTATCTGTTTCTGCATAAAAATATCTAAATAACTAAAAATTTAATCTGTAATCTCATGTATGTATCTATCTGGTCATTGTGTTTTTGAAAATCATACTTCTTAAGCAAGCACAAACTTAAAACTCTCGTTCGTAAATTTTTCTTCATCCTAATAGGTTCTAAATTATGAAAAACAAAATCAGTGATTTATTCACCTTGACTTGGTATGTAGTGGAAACTGAAATCTTGAGTTCCCTGTAGACAAACGCTTTAAATTCTTCCAAATTCCTGCCAGTCATTTCCTCCACTTTTGTCTTTACCTGTGTAGAAATGAATCAGGTAAGAGCAGAAAAGTCAAAATTTGTCTATGAAAAAAGTGAAGCTTGTAGCTTGCCTGATCACAGATCTCCTGAATCTCCTTCGTGGCGTAGTGTTCACCTCCTGGAAAACCCATCCTGATGATGTTTGATGCCCTGAACAGGAAAGTAAAGCATCTGATGTCAGTCTGAACTGCTCAACATCTATTCAGCTGAGAATTATTTATACAGAAGGTTCTCTGGATAAAGACTGGGAGGAGCATTCATTTAAGAAGACAACCCACACTTTATTTTGGTTAAAGCTCACTCTACAGTTCACTCTGTGGCTCGCCTTTCAAAAGACATTATCACGTAGTCAAATGTTTGAACTTTTAAACATCAGCATACCACAAAGTGAAGCCTAAAAGTATTTCTATGCTAAGAATATGCATTTAATGAATAGATGATGTACTGAATCAGTATAAAAAAATGCAATGAATTTGAATAAAAATAGAATATAATTGCTTTGGTTTATTTTTTCTGTCAGAAAGCTTTTCTCCACAAATAACTCATGCTGATTCTATAAATTTCAGCTTTCAATAATAAAAGTTATGCCATATAAAAATCCTGTTAAAAACATGTGTGTTGTCTTCAGTACCAGTAAGTAAATCTGTATAAATGTTAAAACACTTTTTAATAAGGTCTGTAGTCTTGCTCATCTCTCCAGTCTTTCACAACAAACTTTGGTCTATCTAAAGTCCCATCTTATACCTAATTTCCTACGAAAGGAACGACTAAGCTTAAAGTTATTCAGTTGTAGAGCTTGGACTGATTCCAGATTCATGTCCTTTCATCTGAGTGGAGTTCTTGCTCTTCACCAGTCAAAAAAGTGCCAGTAGATCAGAAGTGGGTGTGTATGTAAAACCTTTGAAAATATTTTTAGCAAATCAATTTAAGCTCTCAGTTTTGACCATATACCATAGCCGGCAAATTCTAAGCAATACTAATTTAATCTGAAGTAATGGGAAGTTTTTCTGACTTTTGCTGCATGGGCAACATGTCATAAGGTGTTTTTCAGAGTCGCGTTTGAACACAAAGGCGCTGGTTTTATACCTGGAGATCTGCTGCTGTGCAGAGCTGCGCACTTGTGTGTGTGTGTGCAAGAATTATGGCACCTGGCAACAAAAGGTTTGCACAGATTTTTGCAAACAAGCCAAGTAAGTTGAGTAATGCTGTTGTTGGGTACAGATAATAAGCTGTTTGAGTTTTTAAAAAATGTACATGGTATATGATTTAAGGGACTTTTTTACTATCTGATAAACTGTACTGCTGTTGAGTTTTTTTTATGGATTATGGAAAACTTGATTAATAATTCTTTTAATCTGCGCATAAATGTTTAGTTTCAGGGGCATAGCAAGAAACATAACTTTAATTACTTGTATGTCTACTCCATATGATGAATTGTTAATAAAGCATACATTACTGTACACCTAATGTCAGCCAAATGATGACTGGTGAGTATGCCTATACATCATGCTAAGCTTGATTAACAAGAACAAGCTAATAAATGTGTTATGTAGGATCAAAGATGGGTACTTCTGGTTACATTTACTTTGAAACAACAAAAGGAATAACAAAAAAACTTATAAGAGTAGTTTTAATGCACTTTTTTACCTCTACTATTTTGGGCTGTTGCTACTCTTCCTTTGCATTCAAAGAAATAGACTTTTATTTTATTTCTAATGCATTTTTAGTTCTATATAATATTTTGGACATTAAAAAATAAACAGAGCAAGAGAGCAGAACTTTTACATCCAAAGTTGATTTATTGGTAGTATATAATTTTTTTTATATTTGCCACACAACTTATGTCTAATACTTGAGAAACCCACAGATAACAATATTGTAATGAACAATTTTGCAGTTTACTGGAGGAAGACGAAGCTAACATTTGTTGTTTTCATCAAAAGGTTTGAGAGGATCGTCCCACTTGTGGTGTTGTTGTACTCCCATCAGCTGGATGATCAGCTCACCAGTCGAAGCGCTTTGGATGACCCACAGATGGAGGTACTCACCTCCTACATAAACCTGCAGGAAAAACCTTGAAGAGTTTTCCTTTTTTAGGATCATTGGAAATATTATGAAATAACTGATTGTTACCTTGATGACATAGTGTAGCACTAGCATATCCAATACCCTGTAAAAGACTGCTTTGTACTCCTTGAAATCCTTCTGTGTCTTTTCCTCCACTTTGAGTTTCACCTGATAATTGAAAAACACAAACCTTGAACACAGTCATTTATTTATTTCCTTTTAAAGTTTTAAAGAATGAATAAAATAATTAATCTCGCCTTATCACAAAGCTCCTGAATGTTGTCAGTGACAAATTTTACATCTGACCATGTTCCCTCAGGGACATCCATTCTGGTGATGTCTTGTGTTTTTAACAAAGAAACAAAAGTTAGTCTGAAATGCTGAAAAGAATCTGGAAATTGGTTGAATTTTGAACATATTTATACTGTAGGGACACTGGGTGTAACCTGGACGGTGGTTCTATTTTGAAATGGGAGGAGCTGCATGTGAAAAGCTTCAATTGATTCCAGGTAATTTGATTGATAGCTGGGACATTTGATTGTGGGCTGAAGCTGTTTCACTGAACAACAGAATATAAAAAGGTGAAAAGACATTTAAAGGCTACAATTAAGTCATTTTTATTTAAAACTGAATCCAAGATAAAACACAACAAATCCTTAATAACTCAATTAAATCTGTTGGAACCTGGAGCTTTGCAAACTACAGTAAATAATGTCTCTTGGACAGTTTAGATCAAAGACACGTTGACCCAAATGTCTGCTGGAGAAACTCATCTGCCCATACATAGATAACTGGGCATTGACAATAACTAGATGGGAGAATCAAATGAACTTGCGTGAGCTGAGACTACATGCATTTCTCATGAATATTATCTGTTCCTCAGAAAGACCAGATGTTGAATTTACTGTTTCTCTGGAATTGCACATTTGATGAGGGACTAATTTGAGGATTTACTACAGGAATAAAGTAATAAAGCTATAAAATCTAACTGATGTTTTAATTCAACTTCTTTTGGTGTTAATTTTAAATAATTTTCAGTGAAAATGAGAAATATGTTAATATTTCTCACTGGATAAACACTTCCATTGCCTGTCAAATAATTTTGTTCTAGGCTGAAATTGAGTTACTAATTCAAACATCTTTCATCTATCTAATCTTCAGATGTGAAATATTTGTAGACACACCTTCTACTTCATTGGAAATGTATCTTTCTGGTTTCTGTCAATAGATTATCTATCATGTGGTTAGATGCTGTTCACTCAACAATAAAATTGATTGATTATCCACAATATCATTGCTGACAGGAACATTGTATATTTGGAGAATATTTATACAGAAAGTTCTCTGGATAAAGACTGGAGGAGGGTTCATTTCAGAACAGGAGGACAACTCACAATTGTTTTGGTTTAAGATCACTCTGCAACATTTGTTTTATCACCTTTCTTGTTATAAAATAATTTGATTATGTCTTTCACAACAATACGTAAATCTTTCTTATAAAAAGTTAAAAGAAAAAAAATGCTCATATGCATATGTAAAAACAAATCATCAATTTTTAAAAAATATCTTCACGAGGTTCCCGTAAATATCACACAATAGGGCATAACATTACAGATTCCCCTGAAAGATTTTAATTAAAATCTACGGCTGCAGTACAGCACAGTTTTTTACAAAGAGAACAGAACTTTTTATTCAACTGTTGCTCCTGCTGGGAATAAAACAATTTATTTAAACCTTAACTGGTCTCAGTCTCCCTGCGCTTTGACTCACTGGCTCCTCCTTGTGGAACTTGTTGGCATGACACTAAGCCACATTAGCTTGGTGTTTAATAACAGCGAACAAAGCAGAACAAAACAGCCATTTCTTTACATTTCACGGGTCGTTAAGTTAACGTGCTTTATGCAGAATGATATAATTTACTGACATTTTGTCCAAACTGGTGATTGGTCAGATCTGAAATGAGAGTAGACTCTTCAAAAGCTCAAGTACATGTTTTCCACTGCAGTGGTTCATCAAGTGAACCATTAAACTACAAATTGTGTGTGAACTGCAGTTTCGGAGCTTAACATAGCTTTTATTATAATGCTTAGTAAGATGTTATCTATAAATACTTAGGAAAATCTGTCAGAGCTCCACCCATGAAACTGAGGAACCTCCTTCTCGAAGGTGTTTTATTTCCTCAACACCTGCAGTATAAATAAGCTTGAAAACTACCTGATGTTCAGCTTTTGAGCCTGATAGCAGCAGATAGTTTTCTTTTCTGTCAAAAGCAGTAATGAGTAAAGAAGTGACATGCGGAGGATGGTCAGAGACCAGGCCAGCCAATGAGGAAGTTTCTGCGCTTTCTAAATTGGTGAGTTTCTTTATTGTTTAAACATATTTACCTGGAAACTTTCTGTTACATTTCTCTTTATTTGATCCTCACACAGATGCAGAAAATTGCAGAGGCAAATACCAACAGAAAGTTTAATGAATTCAAAGCAATTGAATACCGATCACAAGTTGTGGGAGGTATGAAGTATCTGATTAAGGTAATAAGCAAGGATTTCTATGACACCATGTTATTTAAAACCATGTAATGTGAACAGTTATTATGTAGCAGTGATTACTTAATGGTAGACAGTCAGATCAAAACATGATATTTTGATCTGTGCTTTTTTTTTTTGCTGTTTGTTATTTGCATGTACATCAACATTACTGCACAGCATTATTCAGAGAGGAAATTTTCCTCTCTGCTCTCTCCGTAGGTTCAGGTGAGAGAAAACGATTACGTCCACCTGCAGGTCTTCCAAAGCCCTCTGCAGGAGGGCAAAATTGAAACTAAATTTGAGGGAGTGCAGGATGGCCACAAGCGAGATGATCCTCTCGAACCGTTCAAGCCCTTCTAAAGTGAAAACACTGCCTGATCCAGCTTCCTCCAGACGGCTGCTTCAAAGAAAAATGTCTTTGTATTGTTATGAGCAAGATTACTACAACAATACTCTGTTATAATACAAGTTGAGTCAAATATCTGTATCACTTGAACCTGTAAGGGGGATGTCAAATGTCATAAAATGACTCAATAAACAAGATTTATACAGGATATTTGTCTCTGGTGTTAGGGTTAGGGTTAGGGTTATGGGCTTGGAAATAAAGGATATTTTTGTGTTAAACACATTTCCCAAGAAAAGAAAATCAACAATACAGTTAAATATGAAACTATTTAGACTTTTTAGGTAAATAGTCTAGATCTCTGTCCTTAATTGGTTACATTCACGAGTTCATAATTATGTTGTCAAATGGGGGAGCAAATAAAAAAATAAATAAATACAGAGCATTACAGAGGTCCAAAAAGAGGGAGCAGAAACATAAATCTTCACCACCACTTTTAAAAATGGAGGACAGTTGCTATGCTTTATATTTAAAGTGTCTTTAGCACTGATGTGGTTTTTGGGGTAAAAGATAAAGAAACATTCTAACAACCGTCCGGTTCAGCCTGGAACTGACCGGGCTTTTGGGGGAACCTCTTCATTGCCAACCCATCCCTGGTGCTGCGTGACTAATGGGGCTTGACAGCTTCTCCACCAACTAGCAGGCCACAAACCCATCGGCCCACCAGGAAAATCCCAGGCAGTCCCATATGACAGGCCACCCCTGCTTTACAGACTCATTCAGTTCACTCACAATTAAACAAGATCTCATGGATGCATTAAGAATTAAATTAGCCAATATTTATAGCTAATGTAAGCAGACTGAATGCAAGATAAATCACGCATACAGAAAAAGAAAAATTATAGGGGTTGTGTCCCAGGACCATCTGGGAAAAGCTATTTTATCTTGAATTATCAGGATTCTTATTCTGACTGCTTGTTGCTGAAAATATTTAGTCATATGAGAAGGCATTTTGATGTCTAATGCTCCACACTCATAGACATGACTGTGGTTTTATATAATCTCACATATATATTTCTAATGCATTTTGACAAATTGAACATTTTAAAGAAATCAGATATGACAGCAGAAATCCAACAGTCAATATTGATTTCACAGTATGTATTTTATTTTTATATTTGCAGCACAACTAAGGTCCCAATACTCGAGTCAATAAAGTCCACAGACAACAATATGGTAACAAACATTACTGCATTTAAATGGAGGATAGTAGATGTTAGTTTTCATAATTAAAAGGTATAAGATCATCATTCCATTTGTGATCTTTTTGCACTCCTTTGAGTATGACAACCTGCTCACCAGAAGGTGAAGCGCTTAGGCCGACCGACAAATGGAGGTATTTTTCATTTCCAACATAAACCTGCAGAAAGAAAAACATAGAACAGTTTTTAACTTACATGTGTTTCTATTACTCGTCACTAAAACCCATCAGGAAACAACAAATCAAAAATTGTTGTTTTGCCTTCTTTAGGATAATGGCAAAAGATATGAAATTACTTATTCTCACCTTGATGACATAGTTTTTATATATGTCACTTTTCATGTAAAAGACCGCTTTGAATTCCTTGTAATTCTTCCCCGTTTCTTTCATCACGTTGAGCATCACCTGAATATTGAAAAACACAAACCTTAAACACTGACTGAAAATGTTTACCTGTAAGGTTTGAAGAATGAATGAAGTGAATGAATCTCACCTGATCACAAATGACATGAACTGCGGCAGTAGAAAAGTTCACCTTGGTCCAGATTATAACTGGGTCAATTGGGATACATGGGGCAACTTTGCCAGTGTTAGCCATTCTGATGATATCTTCTGGTTTTAGCAAAGAATCAAAAGCTTCATTTTGTCTGAAATGCTTAAAATCAGACTGACATCAGTTGAGTTTTGAATCTTTTTATACTCCCAACAGGAGCTTATGTGAAAAGCTTTCATTTCTGGTAATGTGTCAACAATGAAAAACCCTTGATTTCTGCAGCAAAATGCTGCAGGTTGATTTTTAACTGACTCAATGAAGAAAGTTCATTTATCAGGTTTTCCAGCTCCTTCTTGTCCCTCAAAGTATTTTAAGAGTGTTGTCCCATTTCGTTTATCAGAAACAGTGCATCTATATGAGCCATCTTGCTGTTTTTTAGTCATTACAAAGCTCGATTATTAATTAAGCGTGACAGAGTGTTTTCAGTTTCTGCTCAGAGACTCAGGAATGATGTACCAATGCCCATCAGACAGGCTTCATCATGTAATCCAAAAACACCGTTGTTGTCTCTGGTCTTCAGACAAGAATGAGATTCTCACTGTGATTTTAGTTGTTAAATACTATATATGCACCCCTGCATTGTATCATGTTGCTGCTGCTTGCATTCTCACTGAAACCAGAAAGATAGAGCACATCACCCCAGTTCTAAAGTCCTAACACTGGCTCCCTGTAGCTCAGAGAATAGACTTTAAAATACTCTTGTTAGTTTATAAACCAATTCACAGCTTAGCACCACAATGCATTAAAGATCTGCTGTTGTCTTATCAACCTTCCATACCTCTCAGGTCTTCTGGTTCTGGTCTGCTCTGCATCACCAGAACCAGGGCCAAACATGGAGAAGCAGCAGTCAGCGTCTGTGCACCACAAATCTGGAACATTCTTCCAGAAAACTGCAAAACAGCCAAAACACTGAGTTCCTTTAAATCTAAAAACCCTTTAAGACTAAAAACTCACCTGTTTAGAGTTGCTTTTGAAACATAAAGGAAACATTGACATGCACATTGATGGCACCCACCACAATGTAATGTTTGTTCAATTGTTGACTGTATGGTGTTTTCTTTAAAGCTTTCTCATTTTACATTATTATTTTGCAAAGCACCTTGAACCACCTTGCTGCTGAACTGGTTGAACTAGTTTGAACTCCTCCCTTAAAACTGGTAGAGTTCCAGAGAAATGGCTGGTTTAGCAAGATTGGCCTGATGTATTCTACATGCACTGGCAGATCATGTGTCAGTCATGTATTTTCCTTTCTCAACCAACAACATGTTCATCAGCTGCCAACAGAGGCAGATGTGAAACAAAAAATGACCTGGGAGTTCTTGACAGACTGGCACTATCACCCACTTTGCTGGAATGTTTGTAAGGAAAATCGGCCAGAGTGCATATTTCCCCACAGACCTTTGATATGTTTACTTCAAGCTAGATCTCTATTTTTTTGTGATGCTAAGCCATTCAGTGATTTATGAACTAGCAACAGCATTTTAAAGTATATTCTCTGAGCTACAGGGAGCCAGTGTCAGGACTTTAGAAATAGGGTGATGATGTGCTCTATCTTCCTGGTGTTACAGGAGCAGAAAACCTCTGATTTGCCACTAGGTTTGCAGCACGTCACCATTAGATAACTGTGAAGCTGTAGTCAGAGACAACAATTTACATATGAGTTTTGTAATTTTAGACTTTTTTCAGTCTTTCATAAATACAAAACAACAGTCACTGCAAAACAGATTGTACTTCAGATTCTTAAGTACAACTACACACATTGGATGTGGTTCTTATTATTTCACGGTAACATGTCCTGGAGAACACAATCTGTTGTTGACAAGCACTGCTGCTCCACTTCGTTTTCTTTTCCTCGAGTAACTAATCCTGCCACCGTGTGTCAGTAAAACACATAATACTGCATTCCAGATACTCTAAGTCTTTGTCAGTGCTTGGACATCATCCGATTTGTTAGCCAACAATCTCACGTTGCCCATATTGATCAATGGCAGGAATGGTTTCGAACATTAACTCATCTGGAAGTTGTAGCTCCAGTGGAGGTATTATTTCAGCTTTTGTAGTATTGATCATCTGCTCCCGATTGTAAGCCAGCTTGTTACTATGGCTACACATAAGAAAGAAATGACAAAAATTAAGAAAACTTTGCAAAAATCCTTCAGGCTGCACAGCATCCAAAACTAGAGGAAATAATAGTCCAAAAATGTTTTATTTTTCTTCCAAAAATGAAGAATTGAAGTTTTAGAAAAGAAAAATCAGAATGTAAGCAGCAGAACTAGTGCAGGTGCAAAATGCTGCAGGTTGATTTTTAGCAGACATAAGGAAGAAAGTTCAGTTTCCAGGTTTTCCTGGCAGCTTTTTCTTGTCTCTCAAAGTATTTTAGGAGTGTTGTCCCATTTTATTTATCAGAAACAGTGGGAAACACTTTATTTGACGTGGTGTGCATGACACTGTCATATACATGACATAACACCTGTCATAAACATGGAATCTATGAATGTCTGTCTGTTGTTATGAAGTGTCATTCGGAAAATTATGACACTTTTAATGCAACGTTGCTTTAAAAGTTGCATTAAAAGTGCCAACTTTGCATTAAAAGTGTCATTATTTACCAAATAATTCAAAGGTTTTTTTTACACATTTTTACCAGACATCCCAGTGATTTTGGAGGGATCTTTTGTTTCTATTCTTTCCCTAACACGGAAAACCTCTGATTCGCCAGTAGGGGGCAGCACATCACCATTATTTCTTCAAAGTTAAACTTCAACGTA